ATATAAAAGCAAACAAACAAAACCCCAAAAACAAAGCATAGAGAACATCTCATCATAGAAGCTACAGTATGTCCCACTTAAGAGAGAGGGAACACAAGCAGAGCATGGTGGTGCATGCCCTTAGTCCTAGCACCAGGGGAAGGCAGAAGCAGGCGGTTCTATGTGAGTTCGAGGCCAGCCTAGTCTACAAAATGAGTTCCAGGAGAGCCAGGGCTACACAAAGAAACCCTGTCTTGGGGAAAAAAAAAATGACTTCAATAAACTTGTTCTCTGGTTGAGGAAATGACTCAGGACAGTTCTCCAGGCTGAGTCCCCGAAGCATTTGCATTTCAAAAGAGGCCAGACCTTAACTCCCAGCACCATCTCTGTTGCTAATGAGAGCAGCAAAAGACTAGAGGAGCAGAGGTTGAACTTGCGTCTTTCATGTTTGTGTCAGAGAAGAACTGGTGGAGACTAACCATGTTCCACTGACAAAATGCTCAGTTTTCTGTTCCCTCACTCAGCACTGAACAGCTGCCGACACAGGACCCCCCAGGCACCCAGAGCCCAGACCTTTCTGAGTTGTTTGCTGGTTTGTTTTGGAGCCAAGACAATTGGCAAAGTGAAAATAGTGTGTGTGTGTGTATGTGTCTGTCTGTCTCTCTGTCCGTCTCTGACAGTCTCATGTTGCCCAGGTTAGCTTCAAACTCTATGTGCAGTGAAGAAATAACCTTGAACTTCTGATCTTCCTGCTCCTAGTGCTGGGATTGTGGGTATGTGCTGTGCAGCCCAGTTTTAGTCAGTGCTGGGGACTGAACCCAGGTCTTCCTGAATGCTATGTGAGCACTCTAACAACTGAACTACAGCCCTCAGTATCTCAACTCATTCAGGCTAGCTGTGAAGGCTGCCACGGTCTGCCAGGAAAAGCCACTGTTCTGGGGTGGGAGCAGCCTTTCATGCATCCTCCAGGACTGAGGCAGAGGCTCTCCAAGTTGCAGTATCTGTCTTCAGGGGTTGGTAGGAGGGTTCTGAGGCCCCAGAGTGCCCTTCCTCAGCACAGTTCTGATCTGGCTACTCAAGAATTCCACCTCTGAGGCTTGAAAGCTGGTAAAGGCATTTGCACAGAACTCTGGCAACCTGAGTTGATCTCTGGAACCCGGGTAAAGGAGGACAGTGAGAGCGAACTGTGGCCGTCCACACCCTTAATCCCAGTGCTTGGGGAACAGAAGCAGGCAGATCTCTGTGAGTGTGAGGCCACCCTGCTCTACACAGCAAGTTCTAGGACAGCCAGGGCTTTATAGAGAGAGACTGTTAAAAAGAAAGAAAAAGCAACCAGGTGGCGCACGCCTGTAATCCCAGCACTCAGGGAGACAGAGGCAGGCAGATTGCTGCGAGTTTGAGGCCAGCCTGGTCTGCAAAGTGAGTCTAGGAGTCAGCGCTACACAGAGAAACCCTCTTAAAAAAAAAAAACAAAACAAAAAAAGGAAAGGAAGGAATAAAGAAGAAGTGGACAGTGAGAACTAACTTGGCAAAGTTGTCCTTTGACCTCCACATACAGCTATGACATGCATCCCACGTGTACAAGCATGCACACACACAGAGAGACACACACACACAGACACAATACATTAAAAAAATTCTCTTTCTACCCTCTATACACACACACTTGGAGATGAGAGTTCAACTTTGGGTATCTTCCTTTAGCTATCAATTTTCTTTTATTTTTGAGACAGAATTTCATTGTGTAGCCTTGGCTGGTTTGGCACTTGCTATGTATGTAGATAAGGCTGGACTGGAACCAGAGATCTGCCTGTTTTTGTTTCCTCAGTGCTGTGAATAAAGGCATGCATCACCACACCATGGCTTCCCTTTCCTGCCTCCCTCCCTCCCTCCTCCAGGCACTGAGATTACAGACACCTCCTGCTCTGGCTTTGACGTGGGTGGTGGGTGAGGAGAGTCTGAACTCAAGAGTGCAGGCTTGTGCCATAGCCCTTTACCCACTGAGCCATTTGCCCAGGTCCTTAAATCCTGAGTGTGTTTCCTTCAGGCTGTTTGAGCCCCTAGCTGCAGATGTGATAGGCATGCTTTTTCTTTCCCTCCTTCCTTCCGGCACCCAGAGATTGCTGTCAAGCTTTAATGACGCCTCTTGCTGTCACCCTGAAGTCCTCTTATCAATGCTAAGTGTTGCATGAAAGTTCACGTAAAAGTGCTATAATTCATCTGTTTACCTCCCAAAAACCTAGCCCGAGACAGGAAATTTAGAGTACTTTGCTCTTACATAGGCCCCTAATGAACACTAGATTCTTTTTTATTTTTTCTTTCTTTCTTTCTGGAACTCAGTGTGTGTTTTGCTGAGCTAGAGCTCAAACCCCGAGCATGAGGCATGCCAGGCAACTGCCTGCCTGCTGAGTTCCAGCCCCAGCTCTAAATGGGAACGCCCTGGGGTACACCTGCAGGTATAATGTGTTTGCTTGCTTTCTACTATAACCCCTTACCCTGGAGACGTCAACTGGAACGTCAGCTGAATAGCCAGTGGTCCCATCCTGTCTGTACCCAGGATCTCTCTCTGCTTTGCTTTTTGAAGCCAAAGCAGAAACAACTCAGATTTATAAAGCAGACTAACCTTCAACCAGCAGAGAGGGACAAGCAGCAGCCGGAGCTCCTTCTCCTGTAGTCCAGGCTGGCCTTGAACCTGCTATGTAGCCTCTGCCCTGCAAGTGCTGGGGTTATAGCTATTAATTACAGCTAGTCACTAGCAAGTCCACTTTATGAGTTGCCGGGGATAGAACCCAGGGCTTCCTGAATGTTAGGTAAGTACTCTTCCACCTGGCCTACACTCCCAGCCCTCCTCCTTTTTTCTTTTTGCTCTCTCACCTCTGCTTCTCTGAGGCAGTTCCCAAATGAGCTCTCTATTCCTAAATCCTTGTCTTAGGGGATGCCTCTGAAACCAGAGAATCCAAAGGAGACACTAGTGACTCTCATCAGATTCATCATTGGATATGAGTTTCATTCATAGATAGATGATAGATGGATGGATAGATAGATAGATAGATAGATAGATAGATAGATTAGATAGATAGATAGCCAGTAATAAAACTACGTAACTGCATGAAGGGATTATTCTGCATGCATTCTAAATCTGCCTTTTAATACTCATTTAATGTCTTCTTAATATAGATTCACATAGCATAATCAGTCCACTGTCGATGACACATCTCCATGTCAATAAATACAGTCCTGAACAGTCGGTCTACCTCTCCTTCTTCCCATGCTGGGGACTGAACTCACATCTTCACTCTTGGATCATTCAGCCCACCCAGGCCCCTAAGTGTCTTCTTTAAAGTACATCACTGCCAGTGTGCCTTATCTTTCAGTTAATTCAGTCTCCAGTGTCTAAGTGAACACGGTCATACTTGGGTCTTTGTAGGAGCGTGGGATGGCTTTCTCTGCAAAGCGGCACCCGAGCCGTGTTCTCTCAAACGTTCACTCCGCGTTCAATAATTTTCTCTGGCACACTAAGAGGTCAGAATTTCATTTTGCAGTTTAGTGGGTTTCAGAAATTATCTTTTCGCACTTTTTGGAAATCAGGACATGTGCCCATCTTCAGGGCTTTTTCTTTTCTTTTCGTTCATTTGCTGTAATTTCCTCTCCAGCAGCGATTATATCTGCAACTGCCTTTAGGTCCCTGGGATGTTATGCGTCCAGGTTTGGAAGGGTGAGCTCACTGGCAGGTGGCTCAGTGCTTTCTTTCCACTACACCCTTCTGGGGTTTTGGTCTTCTGCTCAGCTGAGGCAGAAGCAAAACTGTTTGTCCCCTGCCGCAAGCCCCTACCCCTGAGGAGACTTGTCAGAACACTCTGCTCTCTCTGCTCACTGAGGGTTCAGCGCTTTGAGAACGATCATTCTCACAGCTCCCACCAGTCTTCCAGCTTCCTTCTGGATTGCGCATCCCTCCCGGCATCTCCTGTCCATGTGTGCTTTTCAAACCCGAGCTCACTGGAAGGCTGCCAGTGCACCTCACAAGCTTTCCTATTAAAACCCCCTTTTGTATTTCTGACGGTGACCCTCGCAGTTACTCACTTTCAACAGCTCTCCATGACTGGTATGAGTCTGTTCAATACATCCTGTCTCATTCCCCCACCCCAGCCTGAGAGGCCCCTACTGCGTCTAAGTTCCTCTATTCACTCGGCTGGGTGGTCATTGGTACAGAAAGGCTTCGACACCATCTCAGAGACACCCAGCAAGCCAGTGGACCAGCTCTGAGGCCTCTAGTTTCTTAAACTAAATATAGCTCCCTTTGTTCACGTGGACCGAGAGGGGTCTGGACCCTCGCCTGGTGCAGCCGAAGCCAGAAGTTTCCTAAGCCTTGGGCTATCCTTCCTCCTAGGCTGGGAGTTTGGGTCCTTTCCTAGGGGCATCACGGAGACCACCTCCTCTCGGATTCCATTCCTCTCCCTGGCCCAGCCGGCCAGCTAAGTTGGCAACAGTTCTCTAAAGCTAGTACCTAAACTATCCTCACCTGGTCACAAAAACCCCTCGTTTCCGGCTGAGAGATGGTATCCATGGTATATGCACACACATACACCATGGACACAGAGATGTCAGCGCCTCTTCACACGCCCCACACACCCTGGGCACAGAGGCACCCCCACATCATTCTATCAGTCTCTCTGTCTGTCTCTCTCAGTGTCTCTGTCTCTCTCTCACACACACAGGTCTTTCCCCTCTCTGAAACCCGTGAACACAGAGGCACCCTCAGATCTATCTCTGTCCCTCTCTCAGGATATTTGCATCTGTGTGTTGTGTGTCTGTCTGTTTGCCTGTCTCTCTGTCACACACACACACACACACACACACACACACACACACACACACACACACACACACGCTGGGTCTCTGGCCGCCAAGGTAGTCAATAGTCAATGCCTCTTTCTTCTTCTTGCCTAACCACCCCCACCCCTGGCCCCGCTCCTGGGTCTATAGCCCACCCCACCCTGACCCCCGACTCCAGTGTCACTCACCTTCCATACTGTCTGCTTCGGGACACTCTTCAATGGAGGCGGGCACGTTCGGGTAGGTGAGCTGGGGCAAAGTGGTCTGGGGGGCCTACCCTCGTCCCTCTTTTCGGTTGCTGGCGGGCGTGATGGGGGCGCTTACTCCCTGGGGTCCGGGGTGCAGCGCCCTCGCAGTTGAGCGGTCCACCGGACTCTGCCGCCAGCCCAGCTCCTCCGGGGCCAGAGGGAAGGAGGGGGCTGGCGCGGCGCCGTCTCCATGGCACCCGGCACACCTGTGCGGCCGAGCGAGGGCGCCCCACGCATTTCCTCCCCCCGCCCCCCGCGCAAACTCTCCCCCGGACCCCGCACCCTCCAAAGTGCGGGCGGCACCCGCCGCAGCTCTGGCGGACACACACCAGCCTCTGTCCCCACTCTTTACGTGGCTGGAGCCCAGCCTGCCCCGCACTCACCCACCAAGACAGCCAGGACTCTGCCTGCCCCTCCGGAACAGGCTCACTGTCACTCCGTACAAGGGACCCCCGGAGAGGGGCCAGTGAGCTCTCCCCAGTGAACGCGGACAAGATGTCTGATGGATGACCCTGGCTTCCCAATCAAGTAGAGCAGACCAGGCACTCTCCAGAGATGCTTGGGCAAGTGTCATATCTGCAGGAGCCCGAGTTTCTGCATCTGTGAAGAGGTTCTGAGGGAAACACATTTCTGCCCAGTATATAGTCCTCAATTAATGCCCCTCCCCGCCCTGTCGGACCATCACCCCACCACCCTGGCCATCCCCAGGCCCTGTCAGACGCTTGGAAGACCACACTTTACATCTGCCACGCAAATGAAGAACCTTGGGTTCTCAGGCAATGAAAGAAAGCGCGTGGACCGCTCCTTCCTCTATCAGGAGTCCAGGTTTGTTCTCTTTTGTAACTTCTGGAGACCAGCACTCTCGAATTAGAATCACACCTGGGAATTTAAGGACCGGAAACAAGCTGGGAGCGGTGGTGCCTACCTTCTTAAATCCCAGCACTCAGCTAGGCAGTATTGGCTCATTTAATCCCAGCACTAGCGAGGTGGAGGCAGGCAGATCTCTGAGTTCCAGGCCAGCCTGGTCGACATAGCAAGTTCCAGGCCAGCCTGAGCTACAAAGTGAAAAAGTGAAACCCTGTCTCTAAAAACAGCAAAAGATGTTCTTACCCCGTTCTTACCCGTGAGTCACTCGCCAAACAAACATCCTTGATCCTCCAAAATGGTGACTGTCACTGTGCCCCACCCTGCTCACTTTTCCTTGAGGCTTCCGGATGCCTGACATAAACCTGACAACTTCCTTCTGACCTTATCGGGTCCACCTCTCCAATTCCAATCCAACTTCTCCCTCCCACCACGGAACACGCCTCTCAACGAACGCCTAGCTTTTCTTCATTTCTCCGCCTGCCTCTATGCTGTGCCCCTGCCTGGTAGTCCTGTCTACCTCTCTCACCTGTCCATCAAGCACCCCTTCCCCCATCCACTGCTCTCTACTCTCAAGTCTTTTTTTGTTTTGTTTTGTTTTGATTTTCAAGACAGGGTTTCTCTGTGTAGCCCTGGCAGTCCTGGACTCTCTTTGTAGACCAGGCTGGCCTCAAATTCAGAGATCCGCCTGCCTCTGCCTCCTGAGTGATGGGATTACAGGCGTGAGCCACCCACCACCGCCGGTGTTTTCTTTGTTTTTAACTTTACTTATTTATTGTTTTGAGACAAGGTCTCACATAGCTCAGCTGGCTTGCACCTCAATATGCAGTCTTGAGTTTCCCATCCTTTCTCCATCTCCCTAGTACTGCGATTATAGGGGAGGGCTACCACACCTGCTTTATGTCCTGCTGGGGACAGAACTCAGGGCTTTCTGTTCAGGCAAGCACTCTACCAACTGAGCACTTCCTCAGCTCTTTTGCAATTTTTTTCTTTGTTTTTGAGACAAAAATCCCACTGTGTAGCCCAGGTTAGTCTCAAATATAAGATCCTCCTGCCTCAGCCTTCCAACTACTGGGATTAAAGATGTATGTTTTAGCCAGCGAGGCAGTGGTGGTGCACATCTTTACTTCTGCACTTGGGAGGCAGAGGCGGGTGGTTCTCAATGAGTGAGTTCAAGCCCAGCCTGATCTACAGAGGGGAGTTCCAGGGCCACACACACACACAAAACCCTGTGTTGAAAACAACACAAAAAAGTCTGATGTGATGGTGTATGCCTGTAATCCCAGCACTCAGGGAGGCAGGAGCAGGCAGATCTCTGTGAGTTCAAGGCCAGCCTGGTCTATGAGTCTAGTCCAGGACAGCCAAGACTACACAAACAGACCTTGTCTCAGAAAAAAAAAAAAATTTTTTTTTGTTTTTTTGTTTTTTTACTGATTTTATCCCTAGGGAATCAAACCCCACAGGTCCTATCTTCAAATATTCAGCTGGGAGTAGGATGGGGGGACATCATTCAGCGCATAACATCCTCCAAGGGCAGAGACCCCTTGTCAGTACTACAGTGTGTGCCAGCCCAGCACCCATCCAGTGGGAGACTCACTGGTGTTGATGGGCCACACAAGGTCTGCGCTGGCTTGGCACATGTACTCCTGGCATAACTGCAGGTGTCTTCTGAGATGCCCAGCAGAGTTAATTAGTGCCCAGGAGGAGGGCTGGCATTAAGCCAAACAGTGCCCTGTGGGGCAGCTCTTCTGTAGAGGGGATGCCAGGCATCTCCAGAGGGAGACTCAGCCTCTCTCCCTGGCTGGAAATGGGTGGGGGCCTCTAGGGCAAAGAAGCCATCAGGTAGCTGCCCTGTTTGAAAAGGCTCAGAATCCTCAGGGTAGGGAAAGCGATCTCTCTGGATGGCAAGACCCCACACTGCTGACTTCTGCCGTGTGTGTTTAATGGAGGAGGGAGGCTTCCTTTGCAGGGAGGCTGAGTCCCAGGCAGGAGTGGGATGTCTTCCCGGAGCCTGACAGCCTCTGAGGAGCATTTCACTCTAAAAGCCTTAAAATGCTTATTAGCAAGCTCTCCCCAAGGAAGCAGGGCAGCGCCATTCTCTGCATTTATAAATGACAATAGAGGGCGCAGATGGCTGACTCCATCCAGCTGCAGAGCTGGATAGCAGCCACCAGGAGAGACCGAAGCAAGAAGTCCGTGACAGCCATAGAACCCTTACAGGGAGCCGGAAACCTGGGCATTCTCTCCTCTTTCCAGCTCTGACGTTGGCCCCCTGCACACCGTCTCTCAGGAACTCAGCACCCCCATCTCTAAAGTTAGAGAGCATCTCACGGCCCCCATTCTTGAGCCTGGGTATGTGGAGTCTTCTGAGAGCCTGGGAACACCCTGAGAAGTCCTGTTCTCAGGTTGGGGTTCACACTCTAGATTGTGACAGTGTGGACTGCTGGGGAGGGCACTGAGCCAAGAAGGGCTCAGATATATCTCCAGGGCATCAAGGCGTCAGAGGACCAGGACAGCTCTCTGAGATGGCAGGGGAGGAACAGCCCACAGGTTTCCTAGAGTTTTACGTGGCTGAGGTCTTCCATAAGCCACTGACCTGGACACCTAATTCAAAATGATAAAGACAATAGCCCAGCAGTTCTCAACCTTCCTAATGCTGAGACCCTTTCATACAATTCCTCATGTTGTGGTGACCCCCAACGCTAAAGTTATTTTCATTGCTATTTTGTAGCTGTAATTTTGCTACAGTTGTGCGTTATAACGTGAACATTCTAGAGATAGAGGGTTGCCAAAAGGGTCGCGACCCACAGGTTGAGAACCTCTGCTCTAGTTAAAAGCCCTGGACTTGAAAACCAGTTCCTCTTTCGAATGAGAGCATCCCCGTGATATGTGGCGTTGGCCACATGCTCCATTGTCTCCAAGTTGTGTATTCATTTCTATAGCCCAGGTTGGCCTTAAAGCTGTCATCCTCCTGCCTCCTCCTGTGTGCTAAGATCACAGGCATGCACTAGGGTGCCCAACTTGTGTCCTTTATACAACGCAGCACAAGCTGTAACTACCTCCCTCCCCTGTTGTGGTGGCAACTAAATTTGACAGCAACTGGAAACTTGACCATAGATATACAGCGCCTTTACTTTACCTTATTTTTTAAGTTTAATTTTATTTTTTGAGACAAAGCCTCATGTAGCCCAGACTGACCTCAAACTTCTTGCCCTTGAACTTAAAAAGAATCATTTATTTCCTGTGTGTTTTGTCTTCAAGCGTATCTGTGTACCATACGGCTGGTGCCTGCAGAGGCTTGAAGAGAGTGTAGGATCCCCTGGGACAGGAGTTACAGATGGTTCTGGGTTGTCAGATGGGTGCTGGAAATTCAATCTGAGTCCTCCTCAGGAGTAGCCAGCATTCCGAAGTGCTTGAGCCATCTCTCCAGCCCTTTACTGTTTACTCTGCTGGGTACAAATCCTAGGAAGTTACTGTAAACTTTTGTTTTGTATATAGTAAGAGAACCCCGGCCAGACACAGCGGGAAAATGCCTTAGGACACTAAGGCAGGAAGATTGCCATGAATTTGAAGCCAGCCTGGACTCACAGTGGGTTTCAGGTTAGCCTGGGCTACAAAGTGAGACCCTGTGCCAAAACAAAAAACAAAACAAAACAAAACAACAACAACAACAACAAAAAACAGACAGAAGGAAGGAGAGGAGGGGAAACTGGAGGGGGCAGGGTTAGATTTAGTTGCTTTTCTCCATGCTTTGACTAAGTGATAACAAGAGCAACACAAGGAAGGTTTCCTTCTGGCTCTCATCTGGTGCAGACCATCACAGTGCAGAAGACTGCAAGGATGTATGGTCATACTGTATCTGTGGTCAGGGAAAACAGAAAATACAGTTGCTCGCTCTTTCTCTTTTCTTCCCTTGTTATTCAGCCTAGGATTTCAGCCACATCATTTCAGAGTAGGTCCTGCATCCTAAGGTAAATCTTCTGGAAGCATCCTCATAGACATTCCCAGCGTCCTTATAGCCATGCCCAACATCCTTACAGACATTCCCAGGAGTGTGTTTTCTAGGGATTCCAAATCCAGTGAAGGTGGTGAAGGAGGTTAACTACTACCAAGAGGAGGAGTAATGAGAGAAAGAGAGGAGGAAGAGGATGGAGAGGAGGAGGAAAAGGAAGA